ACCAAATGTTCTACGATTTCAAATGAGTTTTACAAAAAATGATGACTGCGATTTGTTAATTCCGAGAGACATTGTGGTATAAATAATATTATATAACTAATACTAAAGATGAGAAAGTACGTTCTGTTTTAGCACCACTAGTTTGAAAAGAAAAGTTTTTCCCATAACTAGCATATCTGTAATTGCATTGTTGTCCCCTGTGTGTTTGTGTTGAACTGTCTAAAAAATGCTGGGTAATAATAAAATTGCTGGAATTCTAGAATGTTCACTCTTGAGAACTCTTTAACTCAGATTATTTTCAAATTATATTTCATGAATTAATCTATTAGAAATGAGCCTTTTAAATATCAACACAAATTTCACAATTCAAAACGTCGTTCCGGACATCCAAAAACATCAAGTAACAAGAAGTAATTCTATGAATTTCAAACTACCGGCCCGACGCGTTGCTGTTCTCATACCGCGATCTCATATGAACTAAATGGCAGTCACAATTACAAGAAATGTACTAAAAGGCCACTTTTCAAAAAATGTACGACAGCATTAATTTATTGTTTTTTTCTGTAACTGATACGTAATATTCACAGTATAATATTGCAAATTCTCTCCAACTAACCTTTCGTATATCTCGTGAAGAGCAGCATTTTCGAATGTGAAATTTTGAAGAGAGTTGAAAGTGTGCGAAACTTATCATATTTTCAAAAAATGTATGACGTTTTTTAAGGATTTAATTTGGAAAAATTAAATTTTATTAAGTAAAATATCTGATTATCAGTATGGTAAATTTGCAATGTTAATTTTAAAATAAATTCAAAACCAGAGTTCGTAAAAATGGTTCCTGAACAACGTGTATCTTTGGTGTATAAAAAAATTGGATATATTTTTGTGAAAATATTGTTTTTAAGAATGCTTAAATTGCACCAAAAATTGCGCGAAAACTGTGTTTTTGGAAAGTTGTACTAAATGTTCTTTGAAGATCCAACTTTGAAGAACAGGCTTCAATGATATTTGTGAAAAATGTCTAGCTTTAACATTGTAGTTGAAGGATGACGCCGACAAATAATTGAACTTTCGCAATTTTCGAAAATTCAGATACTTCAACAAAACTGTGCCATTTCTAGAATGGATTTTGTTCTATTCGAGAAAAGAAATGGAACAAAAATTGGAAGTCATATTTGAGAAAATTTAGAAAATGTTGATGCTTCATGTCAAATAATCCCAACAATCAGAATATCCGTTTCAAAGAAGGGAGCGCGATCAATCACGAAATTTTCGTGAGGATCCTGCCTACGGGATTTCACATATGGACTGTCGGTCAGATGGACGGATGAACTGGCGTTTTGCCGCTAACCATTTTTTTTGGTATCATGGACCAACAACACGTCGATTCCGTCTAGTACACAATGTAGAAAGTAATCCACTTCTTCGGTATATGAACTGTCGTATAATCGCCGTTTCTGTTGCTGGATTACATAACTTTCTCCATTCCACGTGAGTAATATGTGATGAAATAAAAGTCTAATTTTGTCTCCACCAATAAACCTACACGCTAATTTCTGAATTGGTGTGCGATGTGCAATACGATTAATGACGGAAGAGTGTGTGTTTGGTCACCGAAGTTCAGAACTGGCATCATGTTTGCCAGTTATGCCGATGACCTACCGGGTCTTTATCGGCAACGGCGTTTTATAACTCAAAGAGCACCCTGATGCGACAAAAATAGAGAATTAAATACATAATAATCACTGACAGAGTCGTAATCAGGTTTGGTGCATCACATCGAGGTTAACGAAGTCAAGGACTTCAAATACCCTTGCCCTTGCGAACTCGTATTAAAACTTTTCCGTAACAAAGGAAAAAGATTTTGCAAGTCTTCCGTGGTAAAAAAATTCCGTAACATATTAACTTCAATGGAATACGTACATATTAAGTGAAGAAATACTTAAAAAGTTTCTTATTGTTAAGTACTGCAATTGCATGTGGGAGATTGTTCCGAAAAAATACAAATAATGAGTCAGGGGTTGAGTGAGGGACAGAATGGTATAATCCTCCACAGAGTATGAATTATATTAATAAAAGCAGTAGCAGTTCCCCTTAAGTGTGGAATATCATTTTTGTAGTTCTAAAAGAGTTTCAGGAACACCTTTAATGAACTTGTCTATCGTAGGTTGTTGACAAAATATTTTTTATTTATTATTTAATTGTATTTGTTAGCAAAAAGCTTTTTATGCAAGTTAAAAAATTGATTCGAAAATGTACTATATTATCTAATTTACTGTTAAATTAAAAAAAGATCACGTATAAAGTAAAAGGAAATTTTTGGTGTGTACCAAATTAATATAAAAAGTCATCGTTTTTAATACACTATTGTAATTGTAATATTGATTTTGGCAAACTTAACTCTAATTTTCTATTATTTTACAGCACAAATGTTCCTAGTTTACATGAATTTTATTATTATTATTATTATTATTATTATTATTATTATTATTTTAATTGTGAAATATTTTTATAAGGTTTTTCTCTCTTGTGAAGTCTCTTTTGTTTTGGTTTTTAAGACCTAAATTACATTGTGGGGCAAGAACATCTAATATTTCATTAACTTTATCATCTTTAATATTGCTGCAGATTATTTTTAAGAATTTAAAATATATTACCCACTTTAGATACTTTGGAATCCTATTGTACAAATTCTTTAAATTATGATACATTGAGGTTGTTTGTAGTTGAAGCTATCAACTTGTCACATTTACTCTAGTATTTCAAGAAGTGTTGTAACTATGACTAGATAAATTATGGTAATTAATGGTTTGTACTCGTCGCGCCACATTTTTGCTACTTTATTTTTTCACGTATTGATTACACTGTCAGTGATTTTTTTTATATATTTTACGTCGCATCAACATTTGGTTATTTGCGACCACTTTAACGGTATGCTAGTTGTAAAGATGATATGATATGATATGATGTTGATAGGGGGTGGACGGACAAACACAAATACAACCATGTCCGAGGCGGGACTCAAGTTATTAATTTTAACATTTAGTATATTATTTACCATTTAGATTGTGTAATTCTAAAGAACTTCTAACAAGTATTGTACTTAAGCTTCTGGCTTAATTACCCCCATCTCGGTTAGGTTTTCGCCCAGTTTCCCTGATCCTTGAGCAAATTCTGAGATGGCCCCTTGTTTTGCTTCTGGACATAAATATAACTTCAATTGGACTTCTCCCCATAGGACGTTACACAGTTTTTAACTGTTTTTGACGGAAATTCGTAAACAAATAAAAACATAAATAGATAAACAAATAAATAAAAAAAGGACAGTCGGTAACTCTAAAAATGCATCAATATATTTATTTTTATAAGTGTTAGGTTTAAACTAATATCAGCTATATTTCTTTCTTCTCTCCATTTACGTTTCAAAGAAAAATATTCGTTCTCAAAAGTGCAAATGAACATAATCTGTGGGTCTTTTTTTAGTCGCTAAATAGACACTATCATGCATGAGTGTGTCTGTGTTCAGAAATAGGATATTCGTGTTTATTCTAAATTAAACAATAAACGATACAATGTAGCAGATGTTAGTTATATAATAAAATAAATGACAACAAGTGTTAAAAATATACTAGAAGGAGGATATTTAAAATAGAAAGGAGTTCGAGAAGACAATTGACGTCAATATCCTTCCAAATCGAGAACGGTTGGCTAGCCCACTCCAGGCTCAAGACTTCTGGGATCCGGAAGAGAATATAAAACGCCAGGCAGTGTTTCGAAAGGCTGCAAGATAAATTTATATTACCGATATTTCATCCTAGATAATAATTTTTGGAAGGTTTTGATTCTGGTTTAATATTATGCACACAATTCGACTTCCTTGTAAATATATTTAAATGCTGTTCTTTTTAAAAGATTTTCAAATCTCATAATGGGGTGACTCCTTGCAGAGCGTAATACGACCAAATTCTTTCGGCCAATTGAGTCTGATACAGTGGGCCGAGTTTCTGCGAATGCTCAGTATCTTCATGATTGTACTCACAACCCTATTTATTAAATAATCAGGCGAATTTTACTTACACCTTTTCTAAAAACTACAGTAGTATTTTGTTATTGTTGAAGTTGGGAATGTCTAATGAAATAACTCTTAAGATTATTTGTTTGGTATCGCTTTTATTCTTGGAGGGAATTTATATACGTTACTCTATATTACAATAATGTATGTAATAATTAAAATATATGTATATACTCTCTGAAATAACATAATATATACTTATATTACATTTATATTGTTAATAATTTTATTAAACTGCTTTGTTTATAATTCCTTCTTTACCCAGTCATTGGTCAATTTTCAGTATTTCAATTGAAGGGCTGGTGTGAGATATTTATAGGCCACACTCATACAATTTTGAAACATTGTCTTTTCAATGTTTGTCGAACACATACAAGTCTAAAGAGGGTCAAGCAAATTAGTAAGGATTTCTTGTGACATCTGGCCTAATAAGGAAAACTTTTTCCTCAAATGAAGTTTTAAATCTAAAAACTGTTACTGTTTAATTAGTGCAAATATTGAGAATAATTTTATACTACTTCTTTAACAACCTTAATATCCGATTTAATGGCTTTGACAGTTTCTTAGACATAGATTAAGCATAGAAGAGGCAGTAATTTGCTTATTGACAAGTACGTATTAATCACGGTTCCAGTTCGTAACAATTGTGACAATAATAATCATGTTTTATAATATATTACAAACAGGATAAAATAAATGATTTATTAATTAGTTTTATTGCAAGATCTCTCCTCTAACCGTACTGAAATTCCATTCTGAGATTTCAAAATTAGTTCCCATACTAATTCGGGTTCGTAGTTAGGATCAGGCAAGATGCGAAAATTCCAAACGAGCTTGGCCATGATGCTCTTGAGTTCCAACATTGCGAACCGCTGACCTGCAACCACAAAAGAACAATGCAATTCATTTGATGAAGGATTCACGTGTGAACCATGGTTCCACATGTGAACACGTTTGCGAGTGAACATTTTTACTGGACGGGTTTTTATTGGGCTATATAAAGATGGCAACAATCAGGGAAAAACAATGCCTCATATTTGGGACTATTTGAGGACAGTGAGCGCATAGACAGCAAATGGAAGGTATCGATTTTTTCTCTGGCTTCTAGTATCCAGCCGGGTGCCGGTTAACCTATCCAGCTGAGAGCCGGTCCCGACGGGTTTCATATTCAACCATACACTAGACACCAACACACTTGCTCCTTTGATCAGGGGTCAGCACAACGCGGGGCCCTCCGTGACAATACATATGCGACAGAGACAAACAACCATGCCCAAACGAGACTCGAACCTGTGACCCTAGGGACGGAAGCGCTGTGCCAGTACACGCTTTTAGCCACCTCGGCCAACCAGGTCTCCTAAGGACATTTTTATCACACAAATATGTATTTGAGGGATACCATATTTTTCTCCCGAACTCTTCAGATCTTAAGTATAATATAAATTAATAGTATTTATTGTCCATTTTGATTTTTCCATTACCACAAAGATTTTTTTTACTTTTACGGGAAAAGTAAGTGAAAAATGATTTGAATGATACAAAAAGGAGTGATTAAAGACAAGTACACAAAAAAGCAAATAAATAAAACAAAAGAAGGAACGAAGAAAAAAATATCAGCCCACTGGTTAGATAGGTATGTCATTTGGAAAACATACAGTTAAATGAGTGATGTGGAATCACTCCGATGCGGATGTGTAAGAGACGTTGAAGGAAAGAGAAGCAAAGAGGTGGGTGATCGACTAAACCTTTGAAGTTGCAAGTTGCAGTCGTAAAAATGTGTGTAGGATCTGTAGGATGGTTGAAGTTGCGAGATCCATCTTTGAAAAGGAGGTAAGGAGATGGGGATATAATAATCATTACTGATGAAGTTATGAGATACATTATTCAAAGGGGGAAGGCAGCGATGGTTTAATAGTCCTTACCAATGCAATTGCGAGATTCAGCGTGGAAGGAGAGCAAAGCAAATTGGTGAATGTAAGCTCTTAGCGACGCAGCTGCTAGGTCCTGCGCTGAAGGAGAGGGAAACAATGGGGTGTGTGGTTGTACCTACCGATGAAGTTGCGAGATCCAGCGCTGAAGGGGAAGGATGCAACGGGGTGTGTGGTTGTGTTTACCAATACGGCTGCTAAATCCAGCGCTGAAGGGAAAAGAAGCAACGGGGTGTGTGGTTGTGCTTACCAATGCAGTTGCGAGATCCAGCGCTGAAGGGGAGGGAATCAACGGGGTGTGTGGTTGTTTTCCAATGGAAGCAACGGGGTGTGTGTTTGTGCTTACCGATGCAGTTGCGAGATCCGGCGCTGAAGGGGAGGTACGAGAAAGGGTTGCGTCGCACTGTCTGCTCGGGGGTGAAGCGCTCCGGGTCGAATGACTCGTAGTCTGGAAAAACTTCCGGGTCCCGATGCAGCAAATAGAAATTCAGAAATAGTGTTGTGCCGGCGGGTATAGTCAGAGTACCTGAAAACATGAAATTAATGCATGATTTCTTTCAGCAATCTACGTGATAAACGTAACATTATTACCATTTTTGGGGAAATGAAGAATGAAGTTATATTACACATCGTGTGTATATGCGTGAACCTATTGACAGAAAGATGGCTTACTTCTTAACAAATGGAATTTTGATATTTATGATTCTGCCAGAAAATAATTACAATTAGATTTGCCATTCATGTTTTCATTTTCGCGCACATTCTTCGTAAGAAGAGAAGGGGATGGAATTGTGCGCCATAAAACAGCAAATTTTCGGCTGAATATTTCTTATTAAGCCCTGGTAACGGAAAAGTGGAAATATCTTCATCTCATAGAGAAAATTACTTTATCACGTGGTGTAGCCAGAATTCATATTTTGTAGGTCTTTGATAGCGAAAAATCGAATTACGCCAAAACATTTGTCTGTTTGTGCGTTTGTGCACAAAGATAGAGACTAACACTTTCAGCAGATCTACCAAATTCGTGCGTTTGAGTCTCAAACGGTTATTTTGATTTTTAATTTACATGAAACATAAAAACATTTTCACAATTTTCTCATCAGGCTCCAATTTTTTTACAAAACTTTGTCCTCCGATGACGTAAAAAAGAATGATGCAAGTGTCATGTTCGTTGAAGTACCTGATTTTTCGAAAATTACAAAAGAGCAATTTATTGAGGCGTCTTGCTACATCTCCAACATACAGATACAATCATTTCCTTAATGAAATATATTTTTTAAAGACATCTTGTTGTTACGTCATGTTCAAGTTTCCGAAAAAAATGCGGAGTTCTTAGGTAGTTTTACGCGAAACGTAGGCAACTTTTTAAATAATCGTGTGTAAATATATATATATAT